GACCTGACTGGGGTCGTCCCTACCTCACAGGGGCCGTTTCAATCTCTCACCGGGGTCGTCCCTACCTCACGGGGGCCGTTTCAACCTGACCGGGGTTGTCCCTACCACACCGGGGCCGTTTAGACCTGACCAGGGTCGTCCCTACCTCACGGGGGCCGTTTCAACCTCACCGGGGTTGTCCCTACCACACCGGGGCCGTTTCGACCTGACTGGGGTCGTCCCTACCTCACGGGGGCTGTTTCAACCTCACCGGGGTCGTCCCTACCACACCGGGGCCGTTTCGACCTGACCGGGGTCGTCCCTACCTCACGGGGGCCGTTTCAACCTCACCGGGGTCGTCCCTACCACACCGGGGCCGTTTCGACCTGACTGGGGTCGTCCCTACCTCACGGGGGCTGTTTCAACCTCACCGGGGTCGTCCCTACCACACCGGGGCCGTTTCGACCTGTTACCAGATCTTCCCCCGCTTTTCTTTCCCAGAGGAAACTAGAAATCCAGATTTTGATGTGGAAACTCAGTTTATAAATGTAGGGGAACTTTTTAAACTTCTGCATGATGTAGTCCTGAGCCAGTCAAAGGGAACACCCCTGCTCCCACCCAGGCCATCTGCTTTCGTGTGTAGAACATTCTGGTTGTGCCATTCTGGGATCTCCCTGTGGCCCACAGGCCCCCATCAGCTTCTTCCTAGAAACACCAAAACCACGCTCCTGTTGCTTATTTCTAACTGCAAGCCTGGTATTTTTCTTTGAGTTTCTCATCCTCCCCATCTGCTCTACTTATTTGAAATCAAACTTATTCTCTCCCAGCCCCCCCCCCCCATCTTTTCTGAGCTTCTAGTGCCTCCTCAGATCTGCAGACTTGGCATTCCTTTCCTGTGGTGGCTGAAGGCCCGGGATTCTTCCTCACAGTGCTGCTGGCATGGATCCCTCTGACCTCACTGCCATCTCCGTAGGCCAGGCCCTCACGGCCTTCCTTTGGGCTGTGCCAGTTACCTTCGACTGCAACCGCCCTCTTTCTAGGTGGGGAGGCATCAGCTACAGTGACACATGGCCAGGCCTTGGTATGGACACCCTAACACCTCTCACATCGTCACTGGGATGGGGGGAAAAGCTTATGCAGTGACAGATGTTAAGGTGTTTGGTGTTGCCTCTGTGTCCATCTCTCTGTTCTTGACTCGCTGTAGGACTGAGCAAGGAGCACCCCTGCCTGGGTCTCCATGTCTCAATCTGTGCAGTGAGGAGATTGATTAGATGAAGGGTGGCAATTAGGGTTCACTGCCTATTGGAAATGGCTCCTAAGGGCAGGGTCAGGAAGCATTTAGAGCAGTGGTTCTCAACCTTCTGGCCCTTTAAATACAGTTCCTCATGTTGTGACCCAACCATAAAATTATTTTCGTTGCCACTTCATAACTGTAATGTTGCTACTGTTATGAATCGTAATGTAAATATCTGATATGCAGGATGGTCTTAGGCGACCCCTGTGAAAGGGTCATTCGACCGCCAAAGGGGTCGCGACCCACAGGTTGAGAACCGCTGATTTAGAGTCAGGGTTTCTTGGGAAAGGGTGCTGTCTGTGGTCCCTTGGTAATGCTGCCGTGGGCCCAGGAGAGGGGCGGGGAAGCAAGTGTGAAGTAGTCCCTGTCCCTGGGCTGGGTGTTCCTTTGCATGACCTCTGCTCTGCATCCCCTTGGCAGTCCTGGTGGAGCCGAATGTCCAATCGGTTTCGGAAGCTCAAATTGATGCAGACTCTGCCCCGTGGGCTGTCCAGCAACCAGCCGTTGCCCTTCTGTGATGAGCCAGAGCCAGCACTGGACTCCACAATGCGGGCACCCCCCCAGGACAAGACAGGCTGCTCTGGGCTCCCCGATGTGGCCCCCGCAATGAAAGACAATGGTAAGAAAAAGCTGCAGGTGTGGTAGAATTTCCAGAATGGTTAGACCCAAGTCCTCTGCCCTGTGTCCTACCTTCTAGGCTGATATCAAAGGGGAGATGATGTTGGAATGTGATGGTGCAGCAGAGTGGCTGCTCTGGCAGAGAAGAGACTTAGGCAGGGACACAAGTGCTGTCAGCATGGTAGAATCAGGGGAGCTAGTGGCAAGAGCCCCGGGTTCCTGTCCCACACACCCTGCTGAAGGACCTGAGGTCACTGAGAGGTGGCCTTCCCACCTATCAAATGTGATGTGTCTCTGGCACTGACGGTGTTTTGAAATAGAACGCGTCACCTGGGGGCGGAGGGGTAATGAGCTCCCCCACACTGGAGGTATTCAGCAGACTGGATGACTTTGCGAGGGTGCTAAAGGAGATGCCCGCACTGCTGGGGAAACTGTTCAGATCAGACCTCTTCTAACAAACGCCCCACATCTAGGCTAGCTCCTTTGGCACCACTGTCTGAGACAGACTATTGAGCTGGGTGCACCGCTGTCTGACCCAGCACGGTAGTGGTTTATGGAAAAGCTGAAAACATGCTCTGAGATACATTTCTAATGCTTTCCTTTTATTCAGATATTGAATACCAATTATTATTAAATATTTAATCTCCCAGGAGAGTTGGTTGGCCAGGATGAAGGCCAAGCTGGTCACTCACTCATCCTCATGCCACAAACTCGTAGGGCGGGGGGTGGTCATTTCAGGAAACTTCCATTTGTCTCTCAGGTCCCGGGAGCACGAGAGGAGAAAAGGAAGATGTGTTATTGACAACCATGGTGAGTGCGGGGCTTTTCTAAAAGCATTTCGGGTCTCTCCCAGTCATTAGTTGATTGGTTTACAAGGAGGGATGTGGGCGTTTGTCGTTCTTGTGCTGGTCACAGCTGGGATTGCCATCACGATGTGTCACAATGGGTACAGCTCTGGCACCGAGGAGTCGGAACAGATGCCAGCCTGAAACCGTGGGTAGGGCTGTGCTGACGCTTAGAGGGCAGATGGAAGTCCTGAGGACAGGGCACTGAAGGGTAGGAGTAGGTGGGTGACATTGGACACTTGGTATGGAGAGCCCAGGAGAGAGGACTCATAGAGGATGTTCCAGCCTGAGCGAGGCCCCAGTTTTCTCATCTAGGGATGTATCAAGGTTAAGTTCAGCTGTAAGTAATAGAAAGTCCCAAATAACAGTGGCATAAATAAGATAGCAGCTTATTTCTCTCATGTAAGTGAAGTTCAGGACTGGTACGTTGTTCCGTGGAGTTAGGGACTTTGGTTCCTCTACCCGTTGGTCTCCTAGGGATGGCTTCTTAGTCAAGGTGGCTCTGGGCATTCCAGCCAGCAGGGAAGAAGAGATGGCCATGGGCACATATCAGGTATCTTTGGAGAATTTTTCTGGAAACTCACATATCACTTCTTTTTACCTCAAATTGGCCAGGATTTAGTCACACAGCCACATCACACTGCATAGGAGATTGGGAAATGAAGTCTTTGTTCCAGGTGCTTGTGTGCCCAACTAAATATCTGGGGCATCTACTAAGGAGGGTGTGGGAGGTGGATACTGGGGAACAGCTAGCTAGCAGTCGCTGACTTAGGGATGCTATCTCTCATGGTTGTGGTTTTAAAATAAGATCATCCACAGGAAGATCTTAGCATAGTGCCTAGCTCACAATGAGCTTGTTATCTGCTGTGTGACCTTAGACGTGCTACTGCACCTCTCTGGGCTTCATGTTCCTCTACTCTTGGGACTGAAGTCCATATAATTGAGACCCTGATCTGGAGACTGGCCAGAAGAGGGCAGTGTTGGAGAGGAGACGGGAGCGGAGGAGCCGCCTTGGAAGTCCTAAGCTGCCTCAGGACCTGCCCAGCAGCGATGAGTCTTGACCTGAATCTGCCTGCTCCTGTCCACCAGGCAATAAGTATAAATTGGTGTCTCTGCACACTGACAGTGGGAGCTGGTACTACCTGACATTTGATAATATTAAAGAGCAATACTAACTTTCAGTATGATGACAGAAAGGCTATTACTGACATTTGGGAAGATGCTGTGAAATATAAAGAAGAAAAATAAAATCACCCATGATTACACATACAATCATAATTGGCATTTTGTGGTATATATTACTTGAGCATTTTTTCTAACATTTTTAGCACCTATGAATATGATATGCCATATATATATATGCTAATATATATATCTGCTAATATATCTGCTAATATATATATTAGCAGATACTTAACACAGCCCTTGTACCAGCTGCTGTTTATATCACTTTACATACATGCACTCATTTAACCTCTCCGACAACTGTGCAGAGTAGGCACTGTTATCATCATCCCCATATTGTCCCGAGCTTGATTTGTTAACAGCTTTTCATTTTTTCTATGTCACTGAACACGCTCTGTCCTCATCGCGTCTAACAGCTGCATGACGCAGCATTCCATCATGGGAATGTGCCTGAGTGACAGTGAAGTCTGACTTTTAGACTCTGGGGTTTCTAGTTTTTGTGTGTGTTTTTTTAAGTGCTGGTGAATATCCTATGTCTCAGTTTCCCCCACTAGCCTGATGATTTTCTCGGGATAAATATCTAGAAATGGAATTCCGGGATCAAAGGGTGTGAATGTCATTGTTTTCCAGAAATCGTGCAACAATTTAGACTCTCAGCTGAAGGAGTGAAAATGTCCCGCTGTGGTGGGTTTGTAGCTGAGAGTGTCCTAGGTCATCTTCCAGTGCAACCCCCTGTTTGCTGGATGGAATTGCTGCAGTCCAGAGGGAACAGCACTTGTTCACAGATTCTGAAAAGCCCAGTGCAGCCATGGTGGGAACCCAGGGTGCCCTTCTGCCTTGGACCTCTATTGTCTTACCTCCTCATGCCCTGTAGAGGGCAGCAGTATGCCCACCTGCCCCTTGGCAGATGGAAGCTGGCTGGGGAGCCCTGCTGAGTGGGCATTTGCAGCCATCCTTGCAGAGATGCCCAGCTTGGAGGCAGGTTTAGCTGTGGGATGCCCTTCCCTGCAAAGCACCATCTGGCACGAAGTTCAGTCTTTTCTTAATTAAAGTTAGTGTGGACTGTGAATGCTTTTCCTTGACAGTCCACCAGTCATTGTGTAGATTTTATGCTGACCCCAGATCACATTTTCAAAATTTTAAATTCAATTACAGTTAAAAATGCCAGCCGTGGGAGGTGTGGCTGGAGAGTAGGATGGGTGTGGTGGGATGAGGAAGGGAGTGTTTGCTGGGCTCAGAGAGCTAGCCCATGCCTGCCAGTCCCCTCCACTCTCCCCTCCATCCTAAAACCCCAGCTGTGATCACACGTCTCCTTGCAGTTCTGCACGTGGCCTGCTTCTCCCCAGGCCTCTCCACATTCTGTTCCCTCCATCTGCAGTGTCCTTTTCCCTGTCCTCACTGGGCCAGCTTGCACTGGCCTTCGGGCTCAGCTCAGGTGCCCCTCCTCCCAGATGCCCTCTCTGCCTGCAGCAAGGAGTGCCTCCCTGTGCTCTGCCAGCTCCCCTGCCTGCCCCACGGCACACCCAACATCACGGGGCTTCACCTAGGCCCTCTATCCTCTTCCTGTTCTAATCGCGCTGCTGGGGATGGTTCCAGAAGCCAGGAACTGGAGCAGAGCAGACGTGGGTATTGCTCAGTTGCTGGGAGGAGAGCTGAGGACACCATGTGGGTTTCTGGCTTGGGTGGAGGGGTAGATGGTGCCCTTCTGAGAAGCAGAAGAAACCTGGAGTCTTTCTCTCAGAGCTGGGAGCCCTCCGGGGCCTTTGTCTAACCCATAGCCTGTCTTTTTCAGCTTCGAAATGGAGCCCCCTTCACCAGACTCCCAAGTGACAAGCTGAAGGCAGTCATCCCCCCTTTCTTACCCCCTTCCAGCTTTGAGCTGTGGAGCTCGGACCGGTCCAGGACATGTCACAACGGGAAGGCAGACCCCATGAAGACTGTGCTGCCTCAGAGAGCCAGCAGGGGCCACTCCATGGGCAACGGGAGCACAGACACTGTAAGTCGCCCAGCTGACACACTTTGATGTGTCACTCACCGCTCACTAAAATAGTGATGTGTTGTAGGCAGAAGGTCATCAGACCCACTAATCTAAATAAAGGTTTTTAGTTTATTTTCTTAAGTCAATGACACCATTTACCTAACGAAATTCTATAAGGGACTTAATATGTAAATAGATTACAGTGTCAGAGTGAAGGGATTGAAAGCAGGAGCCCCTCTTCTCTGTCCTCTCTATGGAACCCTGGTGCTCCAAGGAACACAGTTTGAAGACCTGAGCTAATTCAACCTTCCCTTCAGTAGATGAGGACCCTGGGACCCAGAGAGGGGGCGTAATTTGCTGAAGATCACCCAGGTGGGGTAGGCCTGAGACCAAAAATCAGATTCTTGGCTTTTAATCAAGTTCTACACTACATTGTTGTTCAGGTCCATTACCAAGAGCAAACACTAGGAGGCAACTGTGTGCGGTACTGGTGTTTTCTTGCACCCAGAAGGAGTGTGACTTCCATCCTCTGGACCACCGTGGCCCTCAGTGTCTCTGTAACACACTGAGGTATCCCTCTTGAGGTGGGAGGTTATCTCCATGTGTAGACTGTCTCCCCCGCTGCAAACCAAAGACAAGGATTTCGGACCTGCCCTACCGCTCTGTGCTCAGTGATTGGAGAAGGTCAGGGCCTCCATCTCTGATATAAAATGGGGCTGACCCCTGTGCTTGCTGCTGCTTCCCTGGGCCATTGTAATATCAAATTTCTACAGAGAAATCAAGAACCTGTCCTGGAGACGGGCAGGGCGGGTTCACATTTGGTCACAAAGTGGGAGGAGTTGAGTGATCCTGAAAGCAGGGTGACCTGTGGGAATTGATGTTACGGGGGCTCAGCCTGAGCTAATGGCCAGGTTGTCAGCAGCTAGAAGTGAGCTCCCATCCTTAGGGGACTCCTAGCAGGCTGAGCACCGGTCAGCAAGGATGTGCAGGGCGGATGCAGGCATTGGCTCTGGAGGGCCAGCTGAACTCCAGGCTCCTCCCCGCTGAGATTCCCGGTGTCCAGAGGAAGGAACAGTACCCCTAACCGTAACACCTATCTTGTACTTGCAGACTCCTGTCAGGCCGGTTAAATTTCCATCTCTCTCCAGAAGCCCAGCCTCTCCTGCCAATTCTGGAAACTTCAACCACTCACCTCATTCCTCAGGTGGCTCCAGTGGGGTAGGGGGCATGAGTAGGCACGGCGGGGAGCTGCATAACCGCTCAGGTGGGTACCAGGCAGGGCCCCTTGGGGAGGTGGGAAGATCCCTTGGGGCTGTGCCCACTCTGCATACAGTTCCAGAAACAACTGCATACACCTCATCTTCTTGATGTGGCCAAGGGATTTTTTCAGTGACTTCACAATTTTGAGTTTCTTCCCTGCATTTTCTTGGGGGCTAGAGTGGAGACAGAGGAAATAAAGTCTATAGTACTTTATTTTCTTGGGAAATTTTACAAGAAATTAGGAGAAATGTATGGCGTTTTATGGCGTTTAAAATTCTTAAAGATAAAACCTTAGCTGTCTTTTCATAGAACAGACGAGGAAACTGAAGCTCAGAGTGGGCAAGAGATTTGCCCGGGACATGCAGCAAGTCGGTGATAATTGGGACTCAAACCTGAGTGCCCCACAGTTACTTTGACCTTACAGCATACTTTCTTGTCCTCTCCAAGGACATGCAGGGTTAACCAAAGCCAGCTTTGCAGGAAGGACACCCCTGCTTTGTGCCATTACAAGGAATGCATGTGTCTTGTAGAAAAGCTTAAAGACCAGATAAACCAAAAGGTAATAGTCATGATGATGGTGAGAATAATAATAAAAGGTATAATCCCCCCACTGGACATTATCGTTGACATTTTGGTATATGTCTTTGCAAAGTACTTTTATGCATATTGTATTTATGAAAGTGGAATAATTTATAGAGCGCTGAGTATGTACCAGGCATACTATCAAACCCTTGAAATGAATTATTTCCTTCAGTCCCCCAACAGCCTGCAAGGATATGTTCTCCATTTTACAGATGAGGGAACTGGGGCTCAGGAAAGCTAAATAACTCGGCCAGGGTCACACAGCTGCGAAGCGGCAGAGCCAGGACCCGAACCCAGGCAGGCTGGCTGCAGAGTGTAGAGGGCTCGGCAACCTTTTCCCTCTTCGCACACATCACCAGGTTGTGAACACCTTTTAATGTCCGTACACCTGTATCTACAGCATCTTTTTAACAGCCAAAGAGCAGTCCATTCATATGAGGTATCACACTTTTATACAGCCAGTTCCCTCATCCTGAACACCGAGGCTGTTCTAGATTTTTGCTCTTGTAGATAATAACCACATTAAGTAATGCCTTCCTACCTCCATATTCGCATACTCAGTGATTGGCTTAACATAATAAGTTCCCTCAATTCAGGGGTCAATGAGTTTGCCTGTTCTCAAGGCCTTTGATACATTTTTGCCTTTCAGAATGACTCTTTTTATACGTATAAAATATTTACCGCAGTGCCCGGTAAATGCCCTGTAAATGTTAATTATCAGTGTCCTCCTTCTGGCATCTTTCCGAGCCCTGCGTGTTATCACTTTCCTTTTTTCTTTCATAGTAACTCAAGGTTGCCAGTAGATTTGGGGGAGCTGGGAGAGGGAACGTGGTAGTCAGGGTTCAAGCAGGGAAGAGAACATCCCCGGTGCGAGGAATGAGGAAGTTGTTGACAGAACTGTGGGAGGAGCTGGGATGTGAAGATCTGAAAGGGGGAGACAGAGGTGGAGGGAGGAGCCCTGGTGAGGCTGAACAGGTGGAAGGCGCTGCACAGGGGCTGCAGTGGGAATTCAGGGCAGGGTGGGCAGGCATCTGTGCCTGCTGGCGGCTGGCTGAGCTGGCCATGGTGCGGGGAAAAGTGAGGACAAGTTGATTTTGCCAGCACTGTATCCTTCACCACCTCTTTCCTGATGCTTTCATCACACAGTGGCCACTGCATCCTGGCCACCTCTGGTTCTCATGCGGAGTCCTCTCGTGGTCAGCCCTGACCCAGAATCACATGGAGAGGGATTCTGGGAGATGTGGTTATGGCTCCTTCAGGTCAGCATAGGGAGTCCATTGCACCATGTTGCAGACTGCTGGGCCCGTGACAGTCATTCCCATTCCTCTTTCCTCAGGTGGCAGCATAGACAGTGTCCTGTCCCAGATCGCTGCCCAGAGGAAAAAAGCAGCCGGACTGTCTGAGCAGAAGCCCAGCCATCGGTCAAGTCCCATTGGGCCAGCACCTGGGTCCAGCCCTTCTGAACAACTGGGCTCCCCTGCAGGCGGTGGCAGTCCCGGTGGCAAGGTGCTTGTTCTGCTTTTGTCTCCTCCTGCTACACTCATAGCTTCTGTCCTAACATGGCCCACATGCGGGGTGACGGGACTCAAGACAGGCCCCTTCCAGCAGCTGCTCCTGGATTTTCTGAGAAGGGCTGGACTGTGTGGGTAGTTGCTGAGATCACGCCCTGTGCCCTGGGTCCCCTGCACACATGGTCATTTCCCGCCTGATCTCCAGGGCCCCAGCAGGTGCCTCATCCAGCTTTATGTTGCACATGTTCATTGATTAGAGCAAAAGGGTTCAGAGTGTGGGTTCAGGAGCAGGCTGCCAGGGTTCAAATCCCAGCTCCACACTTTAGCATCTAGGGTGGGGCCTGGCCCCTGGTGACCCTGTGTGTCAGCTGTGTTGACATTTTTAGCACCACCTTATTCATTCATTGTACACATCTTTGGAGCTTCTGCTCTGTGCCTGGCACTGCTAGCAGTGAGGATCCAGCAGTGATTTGGGGTTCTGTGACTACTGTCAGGATGTCACTATGACACAAGCAGTCCCACCTCAGTGTGGTAAGGGCTGTTGTGGAGAAGGGAGGATGCCCTTCCAGTTCCAGGGCGTCAGTGATACCTATATGGGGAGCAGAAGGAGGAGGAGCCAGATGGAAGGAGCAGGTGTGAGACTGTTTCAAGGTGCGGGGACAGCATTCACAGCGCTCCAGAAGCCAGAGTATGCAGAGGGGAGGGGCTGAAGGAAGGTTGGTGAGCAGGACAGAGCCAGGGCCTCGCCTGCCTGCTTTGACACCATTCCTCCAACGATGCAGCCCAGGAGCCATCACTGCATTGTTTGCATCTGTGGAGTTTGGAATGGGCGAGAGACCCCAAATGCTCATCTGGAATGGTGCAGTGAAGCCCATTTCCTCCGCTGAGGACCCCAAAGCCAGGCACAACCCCATTCTTTATCATATTTTTCAGACCTTAAGCTTAAAGGTAGATCGCCTGAGAGCCTCATCCTTGGACCTTTGTCCAGAAGTGCCTCCAGAGATTGATGTTTTAATGGATGAATGGGAAATAGTCTTTATTTCCTGCCCAGCCACTGTTCGTTACACACTGTTTGTTATTCAAAGTCCCTTTTGCAATTGGACCTACACAATTAGGCTCCTTTTACAATATAGCTCCAGAAAAAGTTTCTCTCTCCCTATGCATTAGCATATTTTCCATTATATTGAAATTTTCTTGGGTAATAGGATCTATGTAATTAAGTTCCTTTTAGAATTTGGCTCTAGGAAAAATGTCTCTACTGATACTTGAATATACTTTCTTTCCACAAATAGTATGAATTATATAATTATTGTATTATTCTTTTTGCCTTTGCTGCTAGGAAACTCAGAACTACTCATTAAAGTAAATTTGCTAGTTTGGGCTCTGATATAGTTGTCCTCTGTTGCCTAAAATTTCCTGTTTCTATTTTGATGACCTTATTAGATGTGTTGGATATTATTTCCTTCCTTCAATTGGTGTTGGAAATAGATAGACATATAAATTATAAATTATATTAACTATTGTCTCACATGAATGCATCTATCATCTACAATCTATATACATGCATATTCTGATGAATGGAAATTGTGTCAAAAGATGCATTCGGGAAATAATAAACTGGGGAAACAATCCAGTTCAATGATCACCTGATAGTCTTAACATAATAATATGCTGCAACCTTCAGGTTTCTGGGCTCCACCCAGCATAACCGAATGAAACTCTCAAGACAGGGTCTGGGGAATCTGTTTTTCCCCCAGAGTGTTAAGCCATCCCAGCTCAGAGCTCTCAGAAACCACTGCCCTAAATCAAAGGACATCAGGAGTGGCTTTCTGTCAATGGCTCCAGCAGCAAAATGGAGACATAAAGGGCTTTTCAAAGACTCCCTTAGGAAGCATTAGAAATTAGTATTCAAAATATGATCCTCCTGAATCTGGTTTTTGTACTTTGCTTAAAACAAGCTCTACTGTAATAGTGTTATATTCACAAGGCATGGTTTCTAGCTTGTTTGTGAATCAGCATGAAGTGAGCCTTAGGAGGCTCAGATTGGGGGGTTCAGAGCATTTTCCTACACTTCCCAGACCTCTGAACGCCCAAAGGTCCACTGGGTATGTCAGCTTCCTGCTCCCACCCTAAAGGTGGGTGGTTTAAAACAAAAAGCGTTTCTTTAGCTCGTGAATCTGCAGGTCAGCAGTGTAGTCTAGACTTCACGAGGCAGATCACTTGCCTGTCTGGCCATTGGCTGGGTTAACCAGGACAACTGGGCCATGTGTGTCTACAAGCTAGGACATGTTCTCCTGAAGCCATGAGTTGAAAAACAATCAAGTTGTTCAAGCAAATCAGCACACCCAGTGCAGGAGAACAGAAAGAGTTATGTAGCAAAAGGTATGGACCCAGGAGGAATGGACATAGGGCCATTAATGTAATTAATCTCTTATATTGAGGACATAGAGAATAGTTCAGATACCTCAGAGCACCTTAAATCTTATACTTACCTGCCCCCTTCCCCAATAATGCTGCCCACAGGTCCAGAGTATCATGTTTCTTTGCTGTTGGCTGGGGTAGATCTATTTTATAGACATATACCAATTAAGGACTTTTAGGGAAAAACAAGATACTTAGCTCAAAATATCTTCCCCCAAATATTTCTTTATTATGAAGGGAAAAATAGTAACTTCACAATGGAAAAACTCGACAGACACCATCTTAACTAAATGATGAAGGTTAACATCAGCAATAAGATATTGAGACTTTGTGCCTCCTGGTATGACGTGCTAAGAATGACACATCACCTCTGTGGTCATTGACCCAAAAACCCATAAGCAAATCTAATTATGAGAAAACATAAGAGAAACCCAATTTGAGGGACAGTCTACAAATACCTGACCAGGACTCTTCAAAAGTGTCATGGTCATGAAAGACAAGGCAAAACTGAAGAGCTGTCTGTCACAGATTGGAGGAGATTAAGACGTGACAAGTCTATGCAACATGGGAACCTGGACCAGATCCTGGATGAGCATGAGGGCATTAGTGGAACAAGCGGTGAAATGAAATCTGAGTCAAGTCTGTAGTTTAGCTAACAGTGTGTCCCAGTGTTAATTTCTTCATTTCGATAATTGTACTATGGTTATGTAAGATGTTAATATCAGGGGAAGCTGGCTGAGGGATACACAGAACTCTCTGTTTTTGTAATTCTTCTGTAAATCAAAATATTTCCAAATAAAAAATGTTTTTAAAACTAAATGGTACACACACACAAACAGAGGGGGACAATGTGTCCTTTGGTGAAAGGTTGGAAGCAACTGGTTTAGATGACATCAAGAGCAGAAAGGGGTTTCGTGTGTATATAAGCCACACTTTCATCGTAGAGCTGGGTTAACTGAGAGGGAGGGGACTTGGCCAAGGACCTGATGCTTGCAGGGGCAGGACTAGTCCCTGAATTTCCTGACTTCATGGGCTGCTTTTTCCATCCCACCGCTCAGCTCCAGGGGAGGGTTCTCCTGTAACTGTTCTAATCATGCTGTGTTTGCTTTCATGTGTTTTTTAAAATAGATTTCATAGCTCTGGTTAGATATCCTGTTGAATGTTCTCTGTTGTATGTCTGTTTTAATCATTTCACCGTCCAGGTGATAGCTATGTATTTGTCTTAATCTTTTGTGCAGAAACTGGAGATGAGCAAAAGGCCTCCATCTGGAACTTCCACTACCTCCAAAAGTACCTCCCCCACCCTCACACCCTCCCCTTCGCCCAAAGGCCATGCGGCCGAGTCCTCGGTGTCCTCCTCTTCGTCCCACCGGCAGTCCAAGAGCAGTGGGGGCTCTAGCAGCGGCACCATCACCGATGAGGGTGAGTCCCCTGAGGTCCTGAACCCCACCCTATTCTTCACCATGGTGACCTGGCAGGTACCTTTCATTGCTCTAGTCATCCTAGGTCAGGCTTATTTGTTACAAATAAACAAACAACACCGGCCCCTCCCCTTCCCTGATTCTGCCTTGTATTTTTGTCTTCACTGTGCTTAAGGTATGGTAAGCTACCTCATAGTTTTTGAATGTAGTAAGCTTTGTTTATATACACACCAGTAGAAATGTTTCTCCAACAGCAGTTAGGTACCATTCCCTGAACCTTGTATAAGTCAGAATTCTTTCGGTTGCAAGTGATGGAATCTCCACTCAATTGCTTTAAGCAAAAACAAAAAACAAAACCTCATCATTTGTTGGTTTCCTATAACGGATGTGTCTAGGGTGTGCTTCAGGCATGTCTGGATCCAGGTGCTTTGGGAGTATTTCTCTCCGTATCTCAGGTAGGCTCTCTCTGAGTGGTGACAAGGATGTCCCCAAGCAGCGTTAGGCTTACTTCCTCTTCCTACTAACTTAGCAACCCCAGCAGAAAGAGTGCTGACTTCTCAGTAGATCCAACAAAATCCCAAGTGTAAAGGTCATTGGCCTGCTGCGGCTATATTTATAACAACTATGTCATCCTCGACTACCACTGGGTCCATTGGGGTGAATGTGCTGACTGGCCCGGCCCAGGTCTTGTGTCTGCCTTTGGAGCCAGGGTTGGAGTCTGCACTGCCTACACGGTATGGATTAGAAGTGAGAGAGAAGTGGTTTCTCACAGGAAAATTGAAGTTCTATTTCCAGAAAGAGGAGGAGGATGGATGCTGCTGGGCAAGCAAAAGCTGTAGACTTTTGCAACCAGAACTTTGGACCCTGCACGCAAGAATTGAAGCCTCTCCCGTGGGGGTGATGAGGGAAAAGAAGGAGTGGATGGCAGGGCAGGAGCGGAGGCTCAGCAGTGAGGCCCCAGGAAAGATAAAGGGAGATGAGAAGAAGGTCATCTATTAAAACTGCCCTTTGGTGGCTCTTGGGAGTGGGGATGGGGAAGGAGGGAGCAGAGCTTCCGTGAGAGATGGGGGCTCAGGCAGGTGCAAATCAAGGAGTATAAATCGGAGAGGGGTGGGAAATCTCAGTGTGCACATGGGCCTCACCAGTGCATTTGCAGGTCCCTCACTGCAGTGCTGGGCGGTCGTGCTGAACAGGTTCTGCCCAGGAGGTGATAAGTCAGAATCAGCTGCACAGGCCCTAGTCTGTCCTGAGTTGCCGGTGGCATCCTCTGTATTTGGGGGCTGCTTTATTGTTTTGTGATATCTAGTGCGATCATGTATAAAAGCTTCAGATTTCACTAGCAAGCCCATTCCTCCCTAACTGTGTTTTCTAGGTGGAATCTTTAAGTTCCCCACTCATGAATTCTCCCACCTCAGAGGCTTCTAGGAGTTGAAACCCCTAATGATTCAGTTAGGTATTTGTACCTCACCTTTTTCCAAAACAGAGTTGAGACAGTGGACATGTGTATACATTGTCCATGCCCACTGTTTTCCCCTTTTATTCATTATTTAAAAGCTTTGCAGAGCCCTAGTTGGGATGAAAAAAGAGGAGGACCTGACAGCGAATTCTTTTTGGATTAATTTCTCTTGCTTAGAAAGCTCAGTTTTTCCTTCCGGGGTTTGTGGGTTCTGAGGCAGTGAGACCCTTGTCCTGTGGGCATTAGACTATCGCAGAATAGATGCTGAAATCCATTGAGACACAGATATTATATTTTTGTGGGAAATGTGTGGGCCCAATCAAGGGCTGCATGTAAGCTTTTGCCCTGCCCATCTTTCCATCCTAGTCCCTCTCCTGGACTCCTATTGGAAGTTGCCTTCTCACTCTCACGTTCATCTCATGAAGGCTTCTAAGGCAGGCACTGGGTACCATATGTGTGCTGGGTGGTAGGATAACTCACAATCAGGCAGGGGAGTCAGATGCATTCAACAGAATCTCATGAAATGATTGTAACACAAGATGTGAGCAGCAAAGTGCAGAGTGTCGTAGCAGGCTTTGCCAGAGTGGGCATTCGGCCAGGCCACTTGGGCTGAGAAGTGATGAGGCAGTGATGGGCCGGAGCTGAGTGTTAACTTTACAGGAAATGTATGAGCTGGTGATTAAACACAGCTATTAAAAGTCAAATTACAACAACTATATATGTGTGTGTGTGTAAATATATATAAAAGAAGATGAAAAAGGAAAAACAAATTACATGAATTTATAATTAGATAAATTATATTAAGTATAAAGGCATTGGTATTTAAAACAAAATTTTTTGCTTTTTTTTTTAGTGCATTTTAGTAATGTCTATGCTCTTGAGGTTATTTACAGCTCGTTTATATGGTGGGAATATTATATAATGATGCATTACTCCTCCCAGTTCCACTTTCAGGAACATTACATTGGTAGGTTGAAATTGGCTATGATGGGTATATTTTACACCATGGAAATCAACAAACACACCAGTCAGGGCTTGGTTTGTTGTTTTATAGCTCACCTAGATGTGATCTAGTGGGAGACAATGTTAACTATGCAGGTTAAACTTAAAAGTGTCATGTCTGGTATGGATATACTGTGAATAGCACAAGAAATTGAGAAAATATTCTTCTAGGACTTGAAAACAGTTACCTAATTCAGCAAAGTTTTCTCACATGAAGTTCTAACATATGTCTTCATTGTTTCATTTTGTCTTACATATCACATAAAAGGAACAATTAACCAGCCTTTATGTTGGAAATATGCTACGCTCTCTAGCTATAGGTACAAGAATTCAGTGAGACACCTGAAATGCAATGAAAACATTTGCTATATGGAATTTATAATAAAGAGTATTGTATAACCTATTATCATGTGTAAATTGTGCATTACACATTCTTTATGTCAGTAAACTCTGCAGTAAACTTATGTACCTACACACATGAATACATTTCCCCTGAGAGGCAGTTGTTAACCATTTACCAGCACACACTGTGGAGGGAGACTGCATGTGGAGGGAACAGCAGGAGCAAAGGTTTTGGTGTCATGAAACTACAATGGATTATGTCTGGGTTGGGACTCAATTCATCACATACATCCTAGCGCAATAGCAGCTCTTCTGTGAAAGATTTTCCAGTTCCTTTGGCTGGGTCAGCTGTCCTCTCTGTCCCCAGATCCCCTTGTTTGTGCCCTTCACTCATCACCAATGGGAGAAGTGGCAGAGCTGGATGAATAGTACAGACCTCGTAGCTAGAGCTTGGGTTTGAATCCCTGTGGACTAGTTGTATGACCTACCCAGGATATGGCACCTAACCTTTCTGGGCCTTACTTTCTCATCTGTAAGTGGGAAAGTAATAGGATCTACCTATTACTGGGGTTTTGTAAAGAGCAAATGGGTCATCCATGTACCAGGTGCCTGATGCTGAGCAATGTGCATCAGTTGTCACCTCTTCATTATATCTTCCCAGCCACCCTGAGCTCCTTCATCGCAGGAACCTTTCCATGCTGGCATTCCCAGCACATAGTAGACACATTGGTAGCCACTGTTGAATGAGTGAATAAAAGAAGGAACTCAGGCCTTCTAACCTCCAGTTCACTCTTCTGTGAACTGCACCCACTGCCTCAGGACCTTTGCACTTACTGTTCCCCCTGCCTGATGTTCTTCCCTTGACATCTGCATATCTTCATTTAGTGTTCAAAGGATACCTTATAAAATAAGCCTTTCCTGACCACCCTCTATAAAACAGCAGCCTCCATCCCCTGTTGGCCTCCCACATGCTGTTCTGCTCCTCCTCTGTCAGCCTGCTTGTTGGCTGTTTGGTCCCTGTTGAGGTCTCAGTGCCTTGTCTGGTAAATACTTACCGAATGTGTGAATAAATATTTCTTCAAGCCCCAGATGCTGGTCTTGTTTCCTTTCTCTACTCTCCCTACTCTGCTATCTCGATACCCAAAATACGCTGTTTCCTCTGGTCTCTGCCCTCTGGCTCTGCTGCTCCACTGCGATGTGACCTTCTTTCTGGAAGTCCACAGCCTCTGCACACCTGGGCCAAACCCCGACTGGTCTCAACCGCACCTGCCTCTTCTCTTAAGTTCTTTCTCTGACTAGCTGGGGACTTGCTGGCATTAGCGTTTACTGCAGGTGCAGAGACCAGCAGTCAAGAAGTCATAACTAAAAACGGTTCTTGGACAGAAGGCGGAGTTTTAGTCCCAGCAGCTAGAATGCCAAGAACTTGATGGTTGCAGCCATTGGAGAGTCAATGAAAGTTTGAAGTTCACTCTTTTGATATATTTATCAAATTCTAAAATGGTGTTTTTTCACATCTTTCCCTCTTGAAGATGAACTGACTGGAATCCTTAAGAAATTGTCACTGGAGAAATACCAGCCCATTTTTGAGGAGCAAGAGGTAAGGATGTTTTTTTTTGAATGTCAATTTAAATCCTGCTGTTAAAGTTTGTCTAAATATGTGGGTTTTCATTTTGCCAGCCTGGATTGATCTTTTTCACTGAGACAGCTGAGGAAATAGAATTCGTGTTCAGCACATTTAGTTCAGTTCATCACAGTGAAATCCTGGGGACCTTATGGCTTGTTTTGTTGTAATAAACTTTTGTAATTTTGAGCACTGCTCTCTCTCTCATCACGTTTGAGTCTGTCTACACACTTGTCGAATGGGATTGACTGACAGGCCTTTAGGTTTAAAGCGGATCAGAGGCAAATCCTAATGATTCTGTGCTAAGTGTCTGGATATAGAGCCTGTGTTCATCTAAGAGAGTTCCTATTTGCTTCAAAACACTCACAGCCACATATTTAAAATATTACTGTCCTGTAGTTTGGTAGTTTCTCAAAATGTTAAACATAGAGTTACTGTCTGATCTCACAATCCCACTCCTAGGTATACACCCAAGAGAAATGAAAACACATGTCCAAACAAAAACTTGCACACAAATGTCCATAGCAGCATTATCATAGCAGCCAAAAGGTGGAAACAACCCAGATGCCCATTGCTTGATGAATGGATAAATAAAATGTGTTAACTCTGTACAATGGACTGTAACTTGGTCATAAAAAAGGAATGAAGCACTGACACATGCTACAATAGGGATGAACCTTGAAAGCATGACACATTGATAAGTGAAAGAAGCCAGACACAAATGGCCACGCGTTGTATGACTCCATTTATATGAAATTTCCAGAATAGGCAAATCTGTAGAGACAGAGAGATGAGTGGTTGCCAGGGAATGCAGGGAGGAGAGATTGGGGAGTGATTTCTAATGGGCATGAACATGTTCTAAAATTGAGTGTGGTGAAGGTTACACAACTCTGTACTAAAAATCTTTGAATTGTACACTTTAAATGGGAGAACGGTATGGTAGATGAATTATATCTCAATAAGCTATTAAAATATTTCCTCCTTTGGCCAAATAAAATTCCTCTGCGGCCTACAAGCCACCAGGGTGTAATCACTGGTTTAGAATATTCTGGTGCTCAGCTTAGTACATGAAACTGTCACAAATATAGTAGCAATCAGGAGAATCAGTCCTTGTCCCCAACAAGCTCAAGATGCAATTAAGGAGTTTGTATTTTCTTTCAAGAAACAGACTGGGATGCTGTGGCTTTCTTTCTCGGTTTGCTTTTCTGCCCTATCCAGTCTGTCCTTCCTGCCTCCCTGGAGTTTTCCATTTGAGCAGGGATTTTTATGGTCAACAAGAAAGTCTTTCCTGTTTGCTAATGGCTGCCGACTCTTGTTTTATATATTCCCTGCCTGGCCACAGGGGACTGGATGTGGCCTCTCTGCCACACGTCTGGGATGGGGGGCAGAGGGGAGTGAGCGTCCTGCTGGGCCAGGCGCAGGTGGTTTCAGTCAAAGCCATGGCACTCTTTCATGCCTGAGCTGTAAAGTCCCAGAGGAGCTAATCGTCAGAGAGATGCGAGATGCCTGCATCTCAGAGAGAGCTTGGGATTGGATAAGGGAGTAGATCTTTTCCCACCAACTCAAACCTGGGTCAAGATTTTTTTTTTAACCTGGGAAAATAAAGTGACTGTTAAAAGAGAGAAGGAAAGATGGGGTGGAAGGTGTTTCTCCTGGAGCTGAGGCTCAGGCAGGGATGACAGAAAGGTTAGGATTTCTCCCGTAGAAACCAAGGGTTGTACGGCTTTGGGATGCCCTTACTCTGAGCCCTTCTCCACCTCTGTTCTCTGTGCTCTTCTTTCCTTATTGCTTCTGCTTGTTTATTTTCTCTATCTTTCCACAGTCTGCGTCTCTCTTGTCCTCTGGGGGGAAACATGGTGAGTACTTCCATTTACCCTTAATTTCTGTGCAGTAGCCAATATTGTTAAAAGTCCTGCAAAACTGCAATTTACTTTCTAACAGCAGGACTTGGACATTTACCACTCTAGCCACCCAGATGACTGTCTCAGAGGCTTTTCTTACTTATTTCATCTTCAGGATTTTCCAGAGCTCACCTATCCTGAAAATCCCAGGGCTAGAATTCAGGAGAATTAGTTCTTACTGATATTTTCAACTAAACTTTCTGCATAAAGTCAGGAATTGGAAATAGTAAGTCATAATTGATTCACTACTAATAAGCACTAATAGCTCATAATCATGATATTTCTATTGTGGTTGGGAACAGAGGTGTGGCGCCAGGCGGATGGTAGCGAACCCCCTACTTTTTCCCCAGGTGGATATGGAAGCGTTCCTCACCCTCACTGACGGCGACTTGAAGGAGCTGGGTATTAAGACAGATGGATCCAGGCAGCAGATTCTGGCAGCAATTTCTGAACTGAATGCAGGCAAGGTATTGTTCTCAATCTTCTTTATTTTTTCTTCCTGTTTTGAACAGCTCAGAGCTTTACTAGGATTCTAGGCCCTCCGTGTTTCCAAGGACCTTCGGGGTCTAATTTTATCTCCGGCATATTTGACAGAGGCTGGCCCCGCTTGCATGCGTCTCATGACCGGGTGCTCACTGCCTCCGAGTGTGCCCCTTTCCTTTTCCAGATCTCTCTTCCCATAAGGTCATTCCTCCCGAGATTCAGCTAAAATAGTCCCTCCAGAAATTTCAGCCTATAGGGCTGGGAAATGCCCTCGAGAGCACACTGGAAGCAGAGACCATGATTAAGACATGCCCTGCTGTCAGGCTGACCTGTGTTTGAGTCACAACACCTGCACTCACTCCCTGTGCTACCCGGGGCAAGTCAGGTACCTCTCTGAGCCAGGCTTTCCTCGTCTGTAAGGCAGGAATGATGGCATTGATGCCAGGACTAAAATGCTTACAGCCCCGGGCACACCCATCAATCACTGTTGGTATTGTTAGCGTCCTGCATTTTTGTCTAATGTTAAATTTCACCTTTAAAGCTAAAGATTAGCAATGCCTCCCTCTCACCCAAAGGCACACATGTGCAAAACACAAACAAACAAAACACGAAAAGCAAATCACACCCACTTTGCAGATATTAGTCAGGCAGTCATGTTTCATTAGCATCTGGCGATTGACATGCCTTTGCCTTCTGCCTTCTGCTTTTTTCCCTAATGTGGCCTGGGTTTTTCTGTCTTTCATTCCAACAACAATGTACGATACTTGCTTATCTGTTGCTTTTTCACACTTTGCCTAACGGCTCCCCATTTGTTGCACTATAGGGATTTTGCTGTTACAAAAACTACTGTAGTGGACATTTCTGCCTCTTTCCTTGTTCTTCTGTGGTTCAGTTCCTCAGGCTCTGTTCCACGATACGAGGTTATGTCAGAGAGCGTGATCGGTTTTATGGTTCTTTCTCTGTATTGCCAGGTATGCACAGAGTATTGACCGGACTTGTAGCACCAATAGCAAATAAATATTCAGGAAGCACTTTGTCCTTCATAAGCCGCTTGGCATACGCTTCCTCAGTTAATTGGCTTAGTCACTCTGTGGCTCAGGAGTTTTCGGACCTTCCTCCTCTTGCCTTCACATATGTGAGACAGGGAGAGGATGGAAGTGGGGAAAGCCATGTGTAGGCCATTCAAGGAAGGACAGGAAAAATTCGAGATGTAGAACGTTTTAGCCTGAATTTAAAAAAGAAGAAGAATATTACCTAAAAATCTGGCTCAGCCATAAAAAAAATCACCAAAGCACTTGTAAGCCATGTAACTTCTATGCAAACCCACTCTAGTATTCAAGCTGCTATATGTATGTGAGTTGGATTATTAGTTAGTTTCAAGTAGTTTATATGTTGGAGAAGGTTACCCAGAAATGATGACCTGAGTTTCACCTTTGATTGGTCTTAAGCCATTGATTGCTTTTTTTTTCATTCCCACTTTTTGTGATTATCAAAGTAGTACATATTCTTTTTACTAAATTTGCACAGTAACCAAAAAGGTGAATTTTTAAAGAAATCATAGTCCATCCACCCAGAGGCCAAGACTGTTCACATTTGAGAAGATTACTCTGCAGTGTTCTGTGCCAAATGTTTGTCTTTATGTGGCTGAGATAGGTATTTTTTTTAATATCCTACTTTCTTCATTTAACATTAAAATATGCAGTTACCCATGCCATTAAGAACTCTTTTTAATATGATAAATTTTCATGGATGTACTAAAATTATTATTTTTAAATTCCTACTTGTTGGATGTAGATATCCAAACTTTCTCTAGTGCTGCAGGGGGCAACTTTGTGTATACGGCATTCTAATTATCTGCTCAGAATAGATGTTTAAAAGTGGAATTACAGAGTCAGAGAGTCTAATTCAAGGTATACGTTATCTTCTCTTGAATTACTTTCCAGAAAGAGCCAGTGAACATCCCCACCAGCTGTGGGTATGAGAGTTTGGTATGTTGTTTAATTTTTATTAATTTGATAGGCCAAAAGATGTGCCTTGTTTTAATTTGCATTTCTTTAACTATTAGATAGACAAAACACTTTTTCTACTTTTAATGGCTATTTGCTTTTTTTTTTTCTTTTGAGAATTATCAGGCAGGTCCTTTGAAATTCAGGGGTTTTTAAAGGGCAATTATCATCATCATCTTTAATCAGTTGTGGATGCAGGAATGATTATGGTTTTCATCATTCACAGTTCCCTCCTAAGGTTAGGAGGCAGAGAATGCTGGAACCCTGTCTCGCCCTGACCTCGTTTCTCAGGCAATTAAGGCTGAGGTGGTGTTTAATAATGGCATCGCTGTCACCCCTCCTGTTTATTTTTTCGTCTTCTGCAGTTTGCATAGTGTCACCTCATTCATTATCTCAGGTTGAGCCTCATCTCAGCCCCAGCATGCGACCTTATCCCGTTTTATAGGCATGGACACTCAGCAGTGGGGGGAAGAGGTGCATCATGCCTAGGATGCCCCCACTAGTGAGCGTAGAGTAGGGACTCAGGATCCTCCACCCCCACACCTGCTTCTCTGTCCTCTGCCCTGCAGCCTTCAGGTTTGTGTTGATGGAATCCTGATGGCACGTTCCCAGCTTATTTAAAATGAACTGGAAGAACTAACTGAAGGGAGACTCCCACTGCCCTCTCAGGTGTCAGGGGTGCCACGTCAGCACTAGAGATTTCCACCCAGGAGTCTGGAGAGGGACCCCTCTGGATGTGGGGAGTTCATGAAATGAATTTGGTGTCTGGACTCATTTAATGGACTCTCATTCTTTTTATTCTTAGCAGGGAATAATCTGCCAGAAATTACTCATTTTTAATTTGCTTTACATTTTAACCACATTCTTTTTCTTGTCTTCTAAAGTTTTATTAGTTTTAAAAATATATGTTTAAGCCACGCTGCTTCCTTTTGAGGACAGGAACTGTAGGCTTCTGCTGCTCACACAGGGTCCGATGTCAGCAGCATCCATTTGAGGTACTATTATTATCCCTGTTTTATAAATGCGGAAACCAAGGCCCAGAGAGACAAAGTACTTTGCTCAAGGCCACAAAGCTAGTAAATGGAGAGATAGGATTTGAACCCAGGCTGTTTGATTCCAGTCTCTTGTCTTAACCTCTGTGTATTGCTGCCTCTTGGACAGGAATTCAGTGAAGATGTTCTCTACGCTTAAAGAAACATTTACATCCCCTCCTTTTCTATCTCAAACTGTGTGAATAAGGGGGCAGGAAGGGGAGATCTTGCAGGGATGGGGTGAATCACTGTGAATAGGAATCTGACATCTTTTGGGCAAGGAGGAGTAAGGCTGTTCAAACTCTCACACTGTAGCAGAAAGAAGTCTGGCTCCCACTGAATCCCCTGGAAATCCAAGGGCTGGAAGATCACACAAAGCAAAGCAGGGGAGGAGATCTCCCTTCCATGCTGTGTGACCCGGGCAAGTCGGTCCTGCTTCCAGGGCTCTGCTGTCCATGCTCGTCCGGGGGATTGGACTCCTGTGTCTCAGGGCCTCTCCAGTCTTTGGCATGCTGTGATGGTGGGTGCTGGGGGAGAGTCTGACTCAGAGTGTCTTATTAAACTTGGTACTCTGTCAATTATTTCTCCAAGATACCCATAGGTTCTTCAAGTATGAGTTGAACATTAACAACACTGTGTCAATTGAATTAATGGTTAAAAGATTTAACAAGACTTTCTGTGTCTGTTTTCAATTTCCTCCACAGGGACGTGAGAGACAGATTTTACAGGAAACCATTCACAACTTCCATTCTTCCTTTGAGAGCAGTGCCAGCAACACCAGGGCGCCTGGAAACAATCCCTGTACATGATCCTCCTTCCTGTGGTCACCAGCGTGAGCTCTCTGAATCTCAAAACTGCCTCCACGTAGCCAGTGCGCCAGCCACCCTCAACTCTTCCCCGTTCCCTGAAACACTCCGTGCCTCGTCACACCACTGTGCCTTAGTCATGTTGTTCCCTCTGCCTGGAACACCCATCTTCCCCTTCCCTGCTGTGGTAGTTGATGAAGCTTGTTGCTGTAACAAACTCCAACACATTAGAGACTTAGTCTCACTTAAAGTCTAGTATGGCTGCTTCAGCTTGGCAGGTGGTTTCATACAGTGACTCGGGGCCCCAGCTTCTTTCATCTGTGGCTGTGCCTTCCCAGGGGCCTCAGAGTCTTTTTCGGCTGGCAGAAGGGGAAAGGGATGGTGAAGGTGAAGGCCTAGCCATTTCTTACTGCCTTGCTCTTAACTGCTCACATTCCATTGGCTCCTCCTATTCCCATTCACCAGTGGTCACCAGTAGTCACATGGCCATACCTGAATGCAGAGGACACTGGGAAATGTAGTCTTTGTTCAGGTAGTGGCTTCACAGCAACAACTCTGTCCTGGGGAAGCGCATGTTTTGGCAGATTAGCCTTTTCTGCTACATCTTCCCTTAAAACTTCTAACTTGTTCCCCACAGTTAGAGTCATCTATCAAATGAAGCCTTTTCTAACCCCTCCAGTCACTGGGGTCCCTTACTGCTTTGTACATAACTCTGCTTAGTACTTCACTGCACCTACTGCATACAGCATACAACAGGATGTGTGTGTTGAATGTGCTTTTCTTTATTGCAAAGGCAGCCTTTTATGTTGGCTCATTGTGTGAACTTGCGAGATCCCTTAGCTTTCTGGCCTTCAGTTTCCTCATCTGTGATCAGGCAAGATTATGCTCTGATACTCCACACCACTCATCCCAGGTCACTGTAGGACTTTCTGCACTTCCAAGTGGGAGCAGAAGACCTTAATACAGTGGTTCTCAACCTTCCTAATGCCGCGACCCTTTAATACAGTTCCTCATGTTGTGGTGACCCCCAACCATAAAATTATTTTTGTTGCTACTTCATAACTGTAATTTTGCTACTGTTATGAATCGTAATGTAAATATCTGATATGTAGAATGTATTTTCATTGTTACAAATTGAACATAATTAAAGCATAGTGATTAATCACAAAAACAATATGTAATTATATATGTGTTTTCCGATGGTCTTAGGCGACCCCTGTGAAAGGGTTGTTCGACCTCCAAAGGGGTCGTGACCCACAGGTTGAGAACCACTGCCTTAATATATTACATTGTGGAAGGACTTCGGTGCTCACATTTTCTAGGCAAAGAAGCAGATAATTTGGAATGTTTTCTAGACTCTGTTAGTGCTATGTTTCTCAGAAGGGCATTGGCTCATGTAGTTTTTCTACCATGTTATATTATGTTAGAGGGCTCTGAATTTAAATCCAGGCCCAAACCAATATGCTCAATTAATATTTGACAAAGGAGGCAAGAACATACAATGGAGCCAAGATAGTCTCTTCAATAAATGGTGTTGGGAAAATTGGACAGATATATGCAAGAAAATGAAACTAGACCACCAACTTACACCATACACAAAAATAAACTCAAAATGGATAAAGGACTTAAATGTAACACGGGAAACCATGAATTTAAATCCAGTAGCTTTCTGTACTGTTTTCAAAGGAGTAATTCATTCAGCCAACACTTGCTGCATTTCTGTCATTTGCTGGTGCTGGGGGTACAGAGACGAGCTAGAGCCAGTCTCCACCCTTGAGTACCTCAACAGGCAAGAGATGTGAGTGGGAGATCCAATCCCAACCTTAGGGGACAGCACAGCACAGTGGAGTTGAAAGAGTTTGTGCTCTGGACTAGGGCTCAGAGTTCAGATCCAGCCCTGTGGGTGGCCAGCTGTGTAGCCAGAGATGGGTTACTTAGTCTCTTCATTGGAGCTTAGAGCAGAGTACATAAAGTACTTGGTCTGCAGGATGTACCCTAGATATGGTAGCCTTCACAGAATTCTGATCTTTATCATGAGCTCTGCAGGGCACATGCTGGCTCCTTGCGAGGCCTCTCATCTCTCCTTCCCCCAGCCGTGAATGCCCATTTCTGCTCCATTGGCTTTCAGAAGTGGTCATTACTGCATTGCCCAGAGCCTGATCATGTTCTCCCTCTGCCTGTCAGTCCAGTGGGTGCTGTTGGTTCTTTGTCCTCCCATCCTCCTACCTGCTGAAGCTAACTTTCCACATGACTGGAGAGAAAGGGTTTCATTTTAGCCATCACTGACAAATGTCTTTATAATTGTTCCTCACATGCCAGCCTCCTTTAAGGAGACACAGTCATTGGGCACCATTGTGTGCAGCAGCTTGACCTCAGTGTCATTCATCCTGTCACCCTGGAAGGTGGCATAGTTTAACCCCATCCTGCACATTGGGGAAACAGACATGGAGGAGTGAAGCTGTGTGCCTGTTACACATGCAGAAGGAGCAGACTGGCTCTGAACTGAACTGGTGGACTTCTGAGCCTGTGCTCTTTCCACTGACTCCCACAGGCTCCTGGAGCAAGAAGCACCAGGGATGGCCTAGGCCTGTTTGCACATGAAATACATGGCCTCTGAGTTATGTGCCTTGAGGTTTTTTGCCAGCTTTTTGCTGTTTTCCTGTCCTCTTCATAAGCCCATATTTGTGCAGCTTCTACTCAGGTAAGTTTGATTGAACACCCACAATGCACAAGAGCTGGGCATCAGCTTTCCACAAATGCAAATCTCCATGATCTCATCTGATGACTCCAGACAGAACAGAGCTGATTATTCCCATTTGGCAGATGGGAAAACTAAGGCTCAGAATGGATGGTTCTCTTGTCTTTTTCACTGGACTCAGGTGGTTCTAAGGCTTTTTCACCCAGGAAGTTTGTGTGTGCTTGGTGAGGGATCCCTGGCACCCTTTCTGGGCCATGATCCCTTTTCTGATGACCCTTCTCACTCCATGTGTCCCTTCTCCCAGGAGGCTGAACAGCTCCACAGTGTTTCCCTTGCTCGATGACCTTCACCAGCATTTCCCCAAGTGTTCCCTGGATGACTATTCTCACAGGATATTAATAAGCTTTTCATAAAGAAAAACAAAGAGGGGTGTATATGTGAAAGTGGGGTGAGGCTCTTGGATCAAATAGGTTTGGTAGACACTGGTCACAGCAAAATTACATAATTATCTTTGCTGTAGGACATCCCAGAACCTTCAGTACAACAGTGTTTGTTTTGAAGGGAGCCAGGTGACTTGTACCATTTCCCACACATTTGATCACCGAATGCTCCTTCATGGTGCTCTTGCAAGATGGGTTCCTTGGACACAAGCAACGAGACCCCGCTTTGACTGGGACAGTGGCAGCCATGAAGCCCCACAGCCTCTAGGATGGGTTGAGGGCACATTCAAGGCCTTCAGTTGCCTTTGGTAATGGCCTCTTCTCTCCCCAGCAGCTCTCTGCAGAGGTGACCTACTGGGCAGTGAGACATGAAGGTGAAGGGGTCCCTGACTTTGAGATGGCCAGGACCCTGCTCAGAGGGCTCTCTGTCCTGTAGGGGAGGGCACTTTCCCAGCAGCTGTGCACTGTCCCTCCTGCCTGGTGTGTGCTGGGTGTCCAAGCCCTGCCTCCCAATGCCTCTGATGGTCAGGGGAAGCTCCCGCCTCCTTGGTTTAATGTAGACCATTACAGGGAGGCTGGCTAGTTGTGCAAGCAAAACGTTTACTTTTTCATTCAGTAAACATTTATTGAGTATTTACCCTGTGCCCACCCCATGCTGGTGCTTTGGATCCAGAGATTAAAAAACCCCATCTCTGCCCTCAGGGAACTCACAGTATCTTAGAGGAGACAAGCCCATCAATAAAACGTTGCAGTGCCATGTGAGGAGCCTTGTCAAAAAGGTCGACAGCTTGGAGGATGTTGTCAGTGACGGCTCAGGTTTGCTGGACAGGAGTGGCCAGAGCTGGAGCCAGGTGGAAAGAAGGAGACTGTACAGCAGGCAGCAGGGGAAGAAAAGGGCACCCCAGATGTGGGGGATGGTGTGTTTGAAGGCAGGCAGCATATCGTAAGTGTGGGTTAAATATTGTTAAGGGGTAAGTTAGATACTTGTGTTTTTTTTCCGATTTCTGGTTCTTTTCTTTGAAATGCATAGAAGCCCTTTGTAACCTTGGGAAGAGTACTGATTCTAGAGTCATCCCTCACACAAGGGTTTGGGGCTGAGCCACTTTTTATTGGGTAATATCAGGGATATTTCTTTCACTACTGGAGCCTCAGTTTCTCGTTATCTTGGGGATAGCGCTCCCCAGGTGCCAAAGATCAGATGAAGGTGAGAAAGCCCTTATCACACTGTGGAGTTGTGCAGATATGTGAAGTCTGCACAATGGTTGCCTATTTGAAATCCTCTCTCCCCTCTCCCAACTGCCCAGATGGAGCCACGGTTGGGTGGGTGAAGCCAGAAGCAGCCTCGTCAGAGGTAGCAGCAGCTTAGATGGCTCTGCTGGCAACAGAGTCCTAAGGTTGCCAGGGTTGGCAGTGGATCCCTGCCCTCCATCTGTACCTGATTCTGGGTGTCTGTGTCATTGGGACTCCTAGCAAGGTGGACAGAAAGAAGCAGGAAGGTTTCCCAGCCAGTCATCACAGGAGCTGGTCCAGCAGACAGAGCAGAAGCAGGAAAGCCTTCCAGTTTGCTCTTGCCTTAGAGCTGCCCAAGACATCCGTGCAGGCCTGGCCAAGGCTAGACAGCTGTGACATCCATGCTGAACTGTGTTGCCAAGAAGATACTTCCTGTAGATCAGGGACCTGACTGAAGGGGTTGTGCAGCACCATCCATGCCCATCTGTCCTTGTCTATTTCAAGCAAGATAATCACATCTTATTAACCAATAGATCCTGTTGAACATGTAAAGTGAATGCCGATGCTCTCCCTGATAAAGTCAGTATGGGATTCTCCGGGACCCAGGGAGAATGAATCTGCTCCCTGGGGATGTGGGTGGTGAGTCATCTCCCCTGGGATGGAGGTTCTCCTTGAATGAGGGGACTCTTCTCTATAACATGCAGCCTAAAAGGGGATTAGCCCTGCCTTAAATTTCATCCTTGGCTGAGAAGCCAATCTCTGTGGACAGTGAGTCACCAAAGCTTGAAGATGATAGAAGGGAAATAAAAAGTCACTAAGTAGTGGGAGAGAGCAGAAAGCCTAGTTGATTTGTCTTCAACTTCCTTCCAAAGCAGAGACCACATCTTCCTGCAACCCAGGGCTCCCTCCTCAGAGGGTGAACCAGCTCCCATCCACGTAATCTCTTCCAGGTTTCCAGTTCCTGTTGGAGCCAACTCTCCAGGGCTCACAAACACAGGGCATAGCTGTACTCCAGGGAGACCTGAGCCCACCCTCCAGGTGTGTGGGCTAGGGTTTGGCCTTACCATAGGGCAGTGATGGCAAACCTATGACACGCGAACTCATTTTTTTGGTTGATTTTTCTTTGTTAAATGGCATTTAAATATATAAAATAAATATCAAAAATATAAGTCTTTGTTTTACTATGGTTGCAAATATCAAAAAATTTCTATATGTGACACGGCACCAGAGTTAAGTTAGGGTTTTTCAAAATGCTGGCATGCTGAGCTCAAAAGGTTCGCCATCACTGCCCTAGGGTAAGGTAAGGCAGGGCCACTGTATCCTTTAGTAAGAGGCCAGGATGCCATTTTGCTTCAGCACTGACCAGTGGGTCCTTAGCAACACACTTTAATATTATTATTGTTATTTCCATACAGGGAATTGATTCTTTGAAGGATTTGTTTGTTTTCCAAATGTATATTAAATAATGGTGACTCTGTCTTTGATTTTGCTCATGAAGGTATAAAATGCTGCTCAGATTCCTTCTAGTGATAATTGTTATAGAGCAAGCACCTGTGGTATGCCGGGTGCTTCTATAAGTGGCCTTGCTTCCTTCATAATAACCCTGTGAGGCCTGAAAATTCCCTTTCTACCAATTTGATGACTGTGACCCAGATATTAATGAACCTAGCCAAAATCACCCAATTAACAAGACAGTCGGTTTGAATGCAGGTCTCACCTCTCTCTCATGAGTCCACATTTTCTCCATGCTATCTTGCTGCTGCCCAGCACACAGAGAAATGTTGAATTGGTACAAGCTCAGCCAATCACAGCAACAAAAAACAAAACCCTGTTAGTCTGTAGGGCTTGTTCACATTTTTTTTTTGGGGGGGGGGAGAGGAGGCACTTATGCTATAAATAGCTTGGAGATTCTGTTTCTTCTAAAAATTTTTACAAGTCAGGGGAATGCCTCATCTCCACCTCTCCTGGTATCAGGATTTCACGTTGGCATGCTCAGCCCTACAGAACATTCGGGAAACAGGGTGGAAGGGGTCCCAATCCTGAAGAAGATAGGACCTGCTCTCCATGAGGAAGAACATTCCAGGGACCAGGGTTATCTAAAAAGGGGACACCCCCCAGATGAGTCCCAGAGGCTGGTCAAGCCCAGGGCAGCTGGAGAGGGGAATTCAGGCTTTGGATGAGGATTGGACCATGTATGTGCTTCCCAAATGACCCATGTTGGAGGTGATACGAGAAAAACAAGTACAAGGAAATGCGTTTACCTGGGTTGGACCTGATCTTGCCAAAAGTCCCTACTACTCTTGGGGGAGGGCTGGTGGTGATGGTGGTTACTGCTGTGTGAAATGCCGCAGTCTGAGAGACACTGGTCCAAGTCCCTGTGAGGTCCCTTCCAGTTCAGTGATTGTATGAACACCTATAAAAAGAAGGGGGAGTGGTTCCTCAATAAGTTAAAAGAGAATGACCACATGACCCAACAATTCTATTCAATATAACCCCAAATAATTAGAAATCGGTATTCAAACAAAAACTTGGACTCAAATATTCATACCAGCACTTTTTACAACAGCCAAAAGGTAGAAACAATTTAGACGACTATTAAATGGGTGAAATGGATAAACAAGATGTGGTATGTGTCTACACAGTAATGTTACTCAGCCACACAAAGGAATGAAGTCCTGGCCCATCTACAACAACTTTGAAAACATTATGCTAAATGAAAGAAGCCAGACACAAAAGACTACGTATTATACGACTCCATTTATCTGAAATGTGCAGAATAGGCAAATAATAGATACAGAAAAGCCAGATATTGGGGAAATTCGGTGCCATCGCTTAATGGGCCGATTTTCTTTTGGCCTGATGAAAAGTTCTAGAACTAGATAATGGTGATGGTTGTACATTGTGGATGCACTTAATGTCACTGAATCGTACACTTTAAAATGGTTCAAATGGCACTTTTCGTGTGTGTGTGTGTGTGTGTGTGTACATATACTAATATATATATATATATATATATATATATATATATATATATATATATGGGTTTTTTTAAAATAAGAAGGAAAGGGGGAGCTCTCCACCTGCCTAGGCTTCCACCGTCAGTCTGTTCATCTTCTCCACCTTGTCCGTCAGTGGAAAGACCCAGCCGCCCACCCCTCTCCCTCCCCCACACGTGTACACACACCTTCCTGCCCGCTTCCTGCTGACTGAGGGCTCCAGATCCCCGCCCGGAAAATGCTTCATGAGTGAGGTGGGGCCGCCCTGTCCTCGCTCTGCCGAAGGCGAGCCCTGCGGAAGGTGGGAACGGCTCCTGCGGCTCCCAGAAGCCTCGCGGGGGGCGCCATCTTGCCCTCCCTCCGGCCCTTGCTTCCGGTCCCCACAGCTGTGCCATCTTGCCCTGCGGCCCTCGCTTCCTGTCCCCACAGCTGCGCCGGCGCCATTCTTGCCCTTCCCTCCGGTCCTTGCTTTCGGGTCCCCCAAGCTGTGCCATCTTTGCCCTCCCTTCCGGGCCCTCGCTTCAGATTCCCCCAGCTGCTCCATCTTGCCCTCCCTCCGGGCCCCCGCTTTCCAGTCCCCCACAGCTGCGCCATCTTGCCCTTCCTCCGGCCCCCCGCTTCCGGTCCTCACAGCTGCGCCCATCTTGCCCTTCCTTCCGGCCCCCCCCGCTTCCGGTCCCCACAGCTGCGCCATCTTGCCTCCCTTCCGGCCCCCGCTTCCGGTCCCCACAGCTGCGGCATCTTGCCCTCCCTCCGGCCCTCGCTTCCGGTCCCCACAGCTGCGCCATCTTGCGGCTCCTCTGTGTCCGGACAGCGAGGCTTTTCCGCTTCACTTGCTTCCGGCTCTTTTAGCGAAACAATTGTCTCCATTTTCACCGCAGTAAAAAACAAGACAAAAACAACACTCTGAGCTGCAGGTGAGTGTTTTCAGAAGTGCTTCCGTGTGTGTCCGCACTGCCGGGACTCCAGCTGTTGGCGCCCCTGAGGGGCCCCAGCCCCAAGGACTCCCGCTCGCCCGGGCTCCGCCGCCAGCCTCCCCTCCTCAGATCCACGTGTCCTCGTCTCTGCGACAGGGGTCCACGCGGAGACCGTGCCCAGACCACGTGCTGCAGGCCAACCTCCGCCCAGTCCCCGGAGCCCAGCCTGCGAACAGGGGCTTTACACATGGCCGAGCCGTGCGTGTGTGGAGGGGAACTCCGGCCACAGAAGGATCTAGAACTGGAGGCTGCACACCAGTGTTCTTCGGTGAGGTGGCCTCACCCCGTTTACTAACTCCTCACGAGGACACTAGTCGGGAGCATGAGCCACTCGGGACCCTCTGAGGGAATGCCGATTGGGCCCCCTGGGGCGGCAGACATGCCTTCCTCAGGTAAGGGAACCTCTGTTTCCTCCAGGGCAGAACGAGGGGCCGACCCACTCACTCAGTAGGTGCTGATGGTGGGCACTGAGGATGCACCAGGGAGCAAAGCAAGCCCCTGCCTTCGCGGAGCTGGGACCCCCTGGGGAGATGACACTCCCCGCCCACAGGGGGGTGTGAGCGTTAACTGAGAATACAAGGCGAGTTCTCAGCACAGTGCTGGACACGGTGCTCAGGAGGCATAGCTGCTATTCATAGCTCACTTTCTCTCCCCATTCCTGGGGGCTCAGGGCCAGGGGAGCTCTTTGTCACCAGCTGCAGTGAAGGGAACCCTGTGCAAATCTGCACAGCTGCATTAATGAACCTGAGCTGGTAGCAGTAAGAGGAGCTGGGTTATGAAGCTGCGACCAGGGCAGGGATGACCGGCCAAATGAATTGCAAGAATGAATGGGGAATATTTGTTTATTGCATAGCAGTGAACTTACACATAAATCGGTTCACAACCCACAGTTGTATAGAGGAAGAACAGAGAGCAAAGAATCAGACAGAAGAAGCCCAAGGTGCAGACTGTGTTCTTTAGACCCATGTGTTAGCTCTGCTTTGATCCACTTTCTATCATGCACTTGAACATAGATCACTTAGCATTCCTGGGTCACATTGACTTATTTTAATTTAGAAAGTTTATTTTTCTTTTTAAGGAATTGCAGAAGTCATTATCAGTGAGTATATTTTGAGGTAACAAGTTGATGTTTTCACATTCTCTATTGAGAGCCCCAATATCAGGTTATCTTCCACCAGAGCTGTGTGGGGTTCCAGGATGCCCAGAGCCTGGGGCAGAGGGCCTAAGAAGCCCTTCTCCTGGCTGAAATGTCCCACCTGGAAAAACCCTTCAAATAGTCTCCTGTTGACATTCTCAGTGGGCTTCCCAAGCCTCTTGAGCTTTTAATCGACCTGGTAACTGGAGGCCTGTGGGCATGGCACTCCTCATGATTGATCATTGATAACACTTGAGTGGTGCTTTCTTCACTACAGCCTTGGTCTTCAAAGTGTGTTCCATGGACCAGCAGCTTTGGCATCCCCTGGATGCTTATAAGAAATGCAGACATGCCCACATTCCTGAGCCAGAAACTGCATCTTCCCAAGGTCCCCAGGGGATGTGTGTGCACGCTGCATTGTGAGTGAGGGTGCTCTCCTAGGACCTTCCCTACATTCATCTCATCACTCACAGCATCCGAGCACCATGATGCTGGCACATGGAGAAACAGGCTGTGACAAACAAAATGGCCCACTTAAGCTCACAAGATGGTTAAAGTAGAACTGAGATTCACCTGGGCTTCTTATTTCTTCCTTCAAATCCAGAGAGCACTGGATTTCTGGTTTTACATGTATACTAATTTAATTTTTTTGTCCATTTGGAGGGATCATTATACTACCCATTTTACAGGTGAGGAAAGTGAGGCACAGAGAAGTTAAGTAACTTGCCTTACGATGTCACACCTTGATCTAGACCCAATACATGTGTAGAACTGACCACTTAGGAATCATAAGCAAGTAGATGGTCTGCTGGGCAAGGCATTCATAATCATTCTAGCGTAGTGGACCCTGCATTAGGTACAACATCATAAAACCTAGGTTTGGGTCCTGCTGACAGCATGGAAGGCTAAGAGGACAGATCACCTCACCTCTGAGGTTTTAGTTTTCCCATCTGAAAAATGGAATAGCAAATGCTACTTGGCAAGGCTGTGGTGAGGACTAAATGAGGTAATAAATACTGGAGTGTATTATAAACTGAAAAGTGTTGTGCACATGCTAGTTAGTGGGTTTATTCCCCAAAGACCTTGGCATAGTGATGGAAGAGGATGAAGCTCAGAGAACAGGGAAGTTGCAGTAGGTGGAACTTTGGGGTTGTCATGGGAACCAAAGCTCTGAGGCTAATCAAGGCAGGAAATACCATCTGGTTTTAAACATCAAAAAGCCTCGACTCACACTGGACTTATTTCTGTAAATAGCAGAATTCACATCATCTTATAGCAGCAATGTCAGCCCAGAGCAATCTGGAGATTGTCTTTCCCTTGATTTCCCAGGTCAAATCTGGACAAAGTACCTTAGGTACTCTGTATCTACCAGCTGTCACTTCCAGAGAAATGTGGACACGTCACTTAGTAAATCTGAATTTAAATGGAAAGAAAACATGGCTGAGAGACATCCTTTCATCCCCTTTCTGGCTTTGAAAACACAGAGGGATGGCTGGAGGTGGTGTCCTGGGACAGTGCGAGGGGGATCTGGGACCCCAGCCAGAACTGACACAGGAAGGGCATTTAGAGAGCATCTTACTGTCTTTCCTTCAAATTATGGGTGATAAAACAGGCCAAGAATGGGACAGTGCCTGCTCAAGGTCACACAGCAAATCAATGACAAAATTGAAACTTGTATCTCTCTCCCAACTTTGAAGTCACTGTTTTGCTACTTCATCAACCACATCTTCCTTTGATATTTGTTCCAACATCATAGTGTTGCTCCCAGGGAAACTTGATGCTTGGGATTTCTTTGGTTCCCTCAGGCTATGTGAGATGAAAAGCAGAATGTTTCTCAAGTCCTACACCTCGCAGGGATTTGACACAGGAAGCCATAATTTCTTTGTCATTTCCATGGGAGAAACAAGATTTCTGTAAACTATATGAGCCCAAATGAATCAAGGTGAAATTGTAAAAACAAAGGCTATGACTTTGAGTTTTCAAAATCTAGAGGAATATTCCAGTTTCATTACAGCCCCCCAGTCCAGCAGAGGTCTCCTGGGGATGAGGACTTTCATCACGGGGGCTGCTAGAAATCATTTGGGCAGGGAGCAGCACTGGGATTGTAGGCCGAGAGTGGCTGCCCTGTGCTGTGCAGCTTGGTTTGCCCTCTGAGTCCATTTCCTCATGTGTACCATAATGCAGGTTTTATGTGACCTTCCAGCTCTGACATTCTGCCACTTGATAACCATTTTCAAAGAGAGGAAGGAGATCTATTGCTCCTAGGGTCACTTTGATGCCTTGGTCATTAGCTAACACATACCTGAGTTGAGAAGCATCAGCACTGGCTCTCCAGGTCCTTGCTGGCTGGATCCTGGGATTTTCCTCTGAATGGGGCTTAGAGGGAAGCAGTCTCTATTCAGTCTCAAGGGAAGGGGGCATTTGAGACCACTATCTCCAGTCAAGCTCCAGGACCCTTAGCCTAAGTTGTCAGGTGGCACCCAAAGGTAGCAGTGACAGAGCACATGTCCATGGTATGTTTACCCCAACTCACCCCACTACACCCTCGGACACCCAGTCTCTGCCCTCAGGCTCCTTGATCCTGTTTCTTTCTGCTGGGTTGTAGGCAGCTTCATCTTCTGGGAGTGGAGTGGGGGCAGGGGAGAGCTGCAAAAATCTCCTGCCCCCCACCCAGAGCTAAGGGGAAGCCTTGCTCCTGGGGAGTGATCCTGGCTGTTTCTGGGTCCTGTTGTGTTGATGGGATACTGCTTCTCCTGGGGGTTCTCACTAAACCTTCTATCCCTTGGGATAGGCAGGGTCCTCCCATCCCTCTTCCATTTGCTCAGAGCTGTAGGAACCACTTCATTGCTGTAAAGAGAGCCCTCAAGCCTCAGCAGCCAGGTCTGGGGATCCCTGTGGCAGCCAGGGCTGCAAGAACTCCTGAGCTGTGGGGAGGGAAGACCTGAACAGTACCAAGGGCAAATTGTTTCCAACCTAGTTCCCAGGGCAGAAAAATTGAGTTGTTGGTCCTTTACATTTCCCAGGAGTTAGTGTTTCAGTCTAAAAGAACTTGAGAAATATCCAGTAGCAAGAGCTAAAGTCCTCATACCACTTAGCTCCACGTTTCTAGTCTAAATAAAGGCAGGGGCATAGCAGTCCTAGCTGTTTAAGCCTGGGAATTGACTTAATCTCCCTGAATCTTTCTGTCTTCCCATTTGTAAAATGCGGATAAAAAATTTATCTAACTATGGTGGTTATGAGAATTAAATTTAAAAAAGTAACCCTATTGCCTAGCACAAGTAGTAAAAAATCTATTAAAGTTGCAAAGTACTTTCATTTCTATTCTCCAATTGAAGCTTCTTAGGAAAGGTGTACATGGTAAATCTCCTTTTACAATGGAAGGCAAACTGCATCTCAAAGAAGTGTGGTAACATGAAAAATCACAAGTCAGCTGCATGTTAGACAGGGAGTCTGGCTAACATCTAAGTCCAAAGCTCATTCTGTCTCTTCATAACAAAATGTATCATTTTCTGAACCCCTAAAAGAAATTATGGGAATGAAAATGAACTTGATACATGTATATTTCCTTGTATCATGACACCTGAGGAAAATGAGAACTGAGAAATTTCAACTTTCAATGTTTTTACATACTTCCTTTTCTTGCTGTTTCCTGGGAGGGACTGGTTTGAAAACTAATTTTGCATTCATCTCTCCTTCAGATTCTGCCTTGCTATTCCAGTTGTGTCATTTGTGAAGAAAATGTCTAATATGTTCTCTGGGCATATTAGAAAACAAAGCCTTTAGTAGTGAATACTCAGCCGGGGTAACTGAGCCTAGAACAGGCAATAATTTGAAATTGAGCCACATAGAAAATCTTGAGAAGACCAAGTTTCTTCCTCTTTTTCTACAGTTATAAGCTTATACGTGTGTCCTGGTGCACAGATTCGTGCACATTGAAAGGAAATTAATTAGAAGAAATACTTTAATGTTGCTATTCGCCCTTTCTCTACGATGGAAGTGTCAACCAAATTCACGATTGACAATGACAGATTGAAACACGTGTACGATTTGCGCCAGCAAGAGCTTTATATGTATCGTGCATGCACGAGTCAACTTAGCCTTTTATATATATAGGTAATCTTGCTTAATTAGAACTGCTTTCTGATTTAGCTAAACTTTTTCCAGCCCAATGAAGCTGGAAAACTTTTTCCAGCCCAACTTTTCTTTCAGGTAATTGTCAGCAACCCAGCAATAAACATCAACACAAAGCAGCTTATT